CAAAATGAATGATTCGAGTGTCAATTGCTGGTTAATATACTTCCATTGCCTTAAATTATACGAAAGCATTTAGAATGAGTATAGAATCTCTGAACGAAATAAGCCGGAAGTTTTTACAAACAGAGTGATTCCTGAATAAATTTCAGAAGTTGTTTAAAATTTCATCATACATATGAAGTGTACTTATCGCAAGAATCTTTGACAAACTAAATAAACATTAAATAAGCAAAAGTAGAGTCATCATTCGATTTCTAAATCGTAATGCTTCTTTGCCTGAAGACCGGTAATTTATCTTTAAGCAGTTTGTACTATTAAACGCTGCAGAAAACTCCTGTAACACTATGATGATGTGGAGTCCCTCTAACAGGTGTTTCAATTATTCGAAAACCTTGATATTGCTTAGTTTACGAACAACTTGCACTTGCTATTGGCTGGAATCGGTTCGGTTCTTGCTGCATTACTGTACATGATCAATGCCTTGGTTACTGTTGGCTTGTTACGACAAGATATCATAGATATTGAAAAAGCACCAAAACAGATGTCTTGCATCGCAAAGGATGATCCAAATGTAAGCTTATTTTCTTAGTACTTTAAAGAAAAGGAAATTAAATAAATGCGATGGTTCTTAATAAAGCTATGCTAAACGCAAATATACTGTTGGTTAAAGTATATCAACTTAATCCATTTAAATGATATCATTTATTCATGTTACTTTCCCATAGCAATAGATAGGTTTCAATATGAAAGATTTTTGCAAAGAACATTTGCAGAAATTAATTGAATATAAGGAGCATTTGCAGAAATTAACTTATTTTGGTGTGAATGAATATTTTCCCATTTAAGCCAAAAGAAGGATGTTAGTAAGCTTGTCGTAGAATTGCTCTTATTTTGTATGAATTGGAAACTTCCAGAAATTTAACGATAAAGTGAGCTTTTTTTTTAGAATATTTTTATGTCCTTTAGCTTTGATCGACTTCCTTTTCATTAATTCGAACTAACTGGATTTAGGTCGAGCTGAATTTTCACGTTTTTATTTTTATTGCAGTATTTTTCAATATCAGTGATAAGCGAACAGCACGGTAAAACGATGGAAGGAATTAAAGAATTGAAAGGGCAACCGATAATAAAGATCGGAAATACTTCAGCCGTATTAATAAAGTGTGAAGATGTTAGTTATCATTTCTTACAACCCAACAAGTGTAGTTTATAAAAGCCTTGGAAATTGGATGCATCCACACCGCTGAATCTTCTTTCATCATCCTCTTTTTGTTCGATATTATAGGGCAGTTTTCAGTGATAAGCTGTTTTCCTTCATGCATCATGAAAATGCTTCTCAAATGAATTGAAACCGCTGTAATCACTATTAGTTAAGATTCTCATATTGTTTTACTGCTACTGTTAACATCTTTTGTCCATCATTCAGATATCGGAACAGCACTGCTTAAGCTATCTTCTGCGACGAGCACATAGGCAAGCAAAGAGCAGACTTAAGCGGTACAAAAAAAGAAGCATTTGAAGACCGGTGAGAGCAGAAATTCTGAGGGCTGAATTTTGAGGGACAACTGCTTACCCGAGGTTTCAATGTCTCAAAATATCGTCGTTCCAGGCATCACTTTCCACTGATCAGCGATTGGAAATGGACCAACAACATATAATCGATTATATTCGGGAGGAATTAGATTTGGATAATGAAGCCAGCAGCCATGACAACAGCAACACGAATTACAGTAGTAGCAATTGCAAAAACCGTAACAATGGTGATGCTAATGGTGTTGTGACGGTAGACTCGAGTAATCGATATCGATATGCACCAGCAAAAAACAATAATTCAAAATCCAGTGCTCGGTGTAATCAGAAACTTCAGCAGCGATCTACTAGTGTTTGGAGTCAAGTGTAAGGTTACATTGATCGATAACTTATAATTTGCAGTCATCGCAGGTGTAAAAAGAAATTAAATTCCTATTGAATGACAGTGAAAGTATCCTGAAGTTGCGTCACTACCTTGTCATTTAACTACGGAAGACTAGTATTGTTTTAATTCCTTTCAATCCCTATTTGAGTACATTCGAAATGTAATAATCTGGTGATATTGTATTTCTAGTTCAAGTAAGATGATACCGATTCCGTTAATTGCTTCTGCCGAAATAGAACATCTAAGCGACAATCATCGTATTGAGCATTTAAATGCTCATTTCTTGGCTACCCGAAAATATGATTCACTATTTGCCCATAGGTAAAGTCAATACCAAATGAAATATTTCTTGTTCTGCAGCAATAACTCTGAATTTCAATGCAATCATACTTACTTGTGACATCTTCAACATTCCACAATATTTTTAATTTCAAATTGGAACCAAATTTTCATAGTTTTTTTTTTATAGTGAAAGTATGAAATTAACAGAAATTTCATTTTTCGGGTACAATGACAGAATACCGAATAGTATGAAGTCAGGTACTATTGTACATATAGCTCGTCCAGTTGAGATTTTGCATCCACAACACCAACATTGTCTCAACAGAACTGCTGAGGAATGTGGAATTATTATTCGAAGACGTTACTCGAAAGGAGAGGATAATAATTCCAGACATAACGGCTACGAAAAATCCTCGGATGATGACTGCATATTTGGTGAATATTTGAGGTTTACTGATAAAAGATTTTGGAATCGATTTCTGTATGGTTATAGAGATCTTTTAGTTTAAAGCTGTTAAAATGTACATTTAGATAGAGGACTAATGCTAAAGTATGAAAGTTATTTCACGCGCAAATCCTTATGCTATCCGATAAGCGTAAGAGATATTTTATCGTCAGTTTGAAGAGATACTCTTGAAGGTGGAAGTGAAATGAGAACAAATTTCTCATTTCTGATCTTCATTTCTTGTTGATTCTATTGATTTCTTACCTGAGGGGACCAATAAAGCGACATTAAGTTAAATCAAAGATTCTGAAATAGAAGTGTAAAAATAAAGGAAATCCTATTATTTCACGAACAGTAGTTCGTGAAACTCTCTTTGTTTTTCCTCTTCAAATGTTGTCCGAGGTGCCGGACGTCATTTCAACTAACGGTGTAAGGAACGACGAATCTGCTGAAGAAACTGCCGAGAACTTTTTGCATATGGCTAGAATTCCAGGAAGTTACAGTACCATTACATTTCAACTTCAGATAGTAAGGGAAAACCGATTTTGAAGACGGATATCAGAATAAAACTTGTACTAACTCCTCAATAAACTTATTTGTCTAAGGAGAAAATAGTAGACGATAAGAACGGTGACGATTGCAAAGGATTAGCAACAGTTCTTTCATATTTTATTATCATTATATCTTAAATTCAAATAATAGGAAGTTAATCATATAGTTGTCTGGGTTATTTGTTTTAGGTTCATTTGTGGGACCGATCTACTATTACAATAATTCAATGCCAGCAAAGTTGGAAAATCTTGATTTAGCAATTCAGCCAGAGCTATTTTTCGTTGAGGAAACAGCTCAAAATAATCGAGATTACAGTTGTAGTGGTTCAGACGATTCAAGCTTGCAGCAAATGTTTGTCATAGCACCACGCAGTTATGGTCGTCGAGATAAGCTTCAACTTTTAACATTTTATTTTCTGCGCCTTGTGCTTATTTTCCCTTCTTTCGAGTGGTCACTGAGTGGTTCAAAAGTAAATAGTTAATGAGAAGTGAACAAGGAAGGGGATTAAGGGGAATTTCAGGAAATGTTAGAGGGATTCAGCGAAGATGCTATTCGAAACATGACTACCGTCGTGGATCGGGGAACATTCAACATCCATCCAATATTAAGCACATAGAATCAGATGATGACTCGCCATCGCCTACTAATTACAGGATTGCTGTCAGGTCCTTATCACTTTTAATCAGTGATTAAATGCTTTACCTAGTAAGGGAAAAAATTATAATGCCTTCAATTTAATCATTTTGAGCGTCTTTGAAGAGCGCCTTTTGATGACATTTAAAATCGAAGTTTACTGTATGGGCGTAAAAATGCTCATATATCAAAAATGTTCACATTAATTTTTGGTATCATTAGTTAAAATGATTCAGGAGTAGGCAAAAGATATCGAATTTATTACGAGATCGAGAATCAATAGATCCCTCCTGTATGCCATCAATTGTAGCAGCCATCGATTCAGGACGCGAATCGGACATAATCCGGAAAAACTCCCCGAAACGAACAAGCTCAAGAGACAAAAAGATGAGGAATAAAGGTAGTATAAGTTTACTATTCATAATTGATACTAAAAGATTTAAATTTAAAAGTTGATTTCATTTGTTGCCCTGATTCACCGTCGGACGTCATATGTTTGGAAAAACATATGGTTGTTTTGCGTACTTCATTTCACTATTACCCGTTTAACTTACAAACTTGTATTATATGTAACAGAAAGTTAAAACTTTCGAGGATTTGACGTGGTAATCAGGACGCAAAATAATGGTGAAAGTTTCGAAAATCGACGAAGAACATTGAGTGCTTCATCTTCCTCGCATGATAAGCCTATTGAAGCTTACCTTGTCACAGAATTTTGACTGAACAGTGTAAATATTAATAGCATTTGTTCCTTCTTATGGTCACTAATACGTCCTGCGAAGATTTGTATTGGAATTAAAGCCTCAGAAATCTGTGCTATTCAATAATTTCTCCGCCTGCATTTGCATCCTTTTGAAGAAGCTATATACTATTTTCAATTAAAATAATTTCGAGAAATAAACATAGCAGAACGGACCGAACGTGTTAAAGCACACGGCCAAAAAGTTGAGATGAAATTGAATCCATCCAAAACTGAAATTCGTTTATCCGGCTTTTGCGACAAAATTTAGCAGTAATCGATTTATTGCCATTTTTCCGGTCGCTATTTTCGTGCTCAAAATCACCATCATTACGCAGTCCGGTAGTTTGCTGACGTTGGGTCGGAACTCATTAAAACAATTACTGAATAACTGATGATGTAGCATGTAGCCTGACCCTTGACATCCTGTACTTATGAATGGAGTCCGTTCAGCTCGAAAGAGCCTTCAATAGATCCCATCGTGTAGATTTATTTCACTATTATTTATTATTCTTCCCATGAGTTTGTGTCAGCGAATTGGTTGCAAAATTCACGTGTGCTACGGCGTCACACGTCATCTACCTGCTCGTCGGTACTGCATTATTCGTTCGTTGTCTCTTCACCCCCTTTCGAAATAGCGCTTTGAGACGTGCGGTTGTCATAAACATCCCGCAAGTCTAATCGATATTGATATTTTAGGGAGGATTACCTGAGGGATTGTGACGTCTGTGGCGAGGGTTCAACTGCTGTGTTTTTTCCTTACTCAAGATTTCGTGGTCGGTCGGTTGATCGGTATGGCGCTATCCTTGGATCATTTATCCATGTTTTGATAAATTTTACTTAATTGTGTGGAAAATCACAATAAATGTGAGAGAGGTGGTAGTAATGAACAACGGTTGAGGTGCGGAAGGTGTGAGAGTTAAAGGAGGAGGGGGAGGGGGGAAAAGAAAGGAGGTCATGTGGAAGGGGGAAAGGGAACGGGGACCACCGAGCTGAGCTGGAGACAAAAGTCTGGTTGACATGATGGGTAGTGGAAGTTTCGTTATGCCGTCCAGTCTGTATTTTCAGCTTAGACATTTAGTATGGTTTAGAAGGTAAAGCCTGAAGGCTTAGGAGGTAAAGCTGGATTGAAACCAGTCGTTTTTATCAAAACTCTTTCCATCTCTCTGCATGAATTTGTGTTGAATGAAGACTGTTTTCACATTGTAGATTGTGTTAAGGCATTGGGTGTGCCAGCCAGCTAAGTTGAGAAAAGAAAGCTCTATCTGTCGGTATAAAAATCAGGATCACTATCAGGCAGGCATTCAGGCAAGAATCAGGAATCAGTGAGAGAGACATTATTGTACTTCTATTGACTTGTTGTGAGGGGATCTCGATAACTTCACTTAATCACTATCAGAGAGACAGTCAGTGTTAAGAGAGTGACACAAAACAGACACAGATACGATGGTGAAGACTGAAGAAAACGGAGTAAGGCTTTTACTACTTTAGCATTTACTTTCTAGTTTTTTCCTTTTGCTCTCGCGTATCTTATTGACTTTTTCGTTGTTTACATGTTATTTGTTACTAATTTGGCTTAATGAGCCAAAGTAAAGCAAGCAGGCAGTTAACATGGAGAGAAGCACAGCTATGAAACAACAGGCAGGCATATATCAAGGAATGTGTCTAAGTTATTTATTAAGCTACCCTAAGATCCATTATTAAACAGGACTCAGGATAAGCCTCCAGGATTAATCAAAGTTCAGGATAATAGTAAGTTCACTCCATAACCAGGTAAAAGTGCAGCATAAGATCAGGTGGCTTCCATGCACCCATTTTTCAACTTTTCCATGTTTTCAAAAAATCATTTCCATGAATCGGATGCCATGCTAGTACTGGCAGTAGTGATCAGTACTGCTGGTAAAGTTTGTCATTTCTTGAAGTGGTAAAGTCGTAAGGCAGTCTGTTTTGGAGAACGCCAAAGATTTGAAACTTCTAGCATGGTCCGAAAAACGAATACGGAGTTCATATGCCGATTTCTGATTTCATGAAGTAGGGTCGATTCAATAGATTCTGTTAAGGATGCAGCTGGTGGAAACCTCGAACCAGAACAATATCGGAAGATGTTTATTGGTGGACTTACAAGCTCTACCACTGATGAAACACTCAAGGAATTTTATTCAAAGTGGGGTACCTTGGTGGATTGCGTTGTGATGCGTGACCCAGCAACAAAACGATCACGTGGCTTTGGATTTGTGAGCTTCTCGAAGCAATCCGAGGTATGCTACAGTTATCTCCATAGGCATCCCTCAGCACGGTAAAAGCCACCAAAACATTCAATTCAGTTGTGGTTTATTGTTATGGTTGTTATGAATGTGATTCGATTATCGGTTCCATTATGATTTAACTGTAATACTTGCTGGTCAGGCTACAAGTTACTGACGCTTGTCATACAAAAAAATTTGCTAAAATTATATGCTTCATTTTGAATTTTAAAAAACTGTCAGCTTTATTTTGGAAATTACAACACTCACTGGAATAGTCTAAGAAACATGCCATGAATATGATATTTAATGATTTTGATTCCTGGCAGCAGCTAGCAGTACAATGAATTTCCGACGTAGGAAGTTTGATTCAGTTGTTAACAACAACGCACCCAAAAGAAATAATTTATATTGGTTCATATAGTGGTGATTCATTACATGAAATTAACAGAAGCTATGATTTAGTGTCAAAGGATTCAAATATGTCGATTTTGCTCAGAGAACTGGAACGAGTAATTATTTCTTGTTGTAGGTAGATGCGGCCATGGCAAATCGGCCACACATCATTGACGGTAAAACTGTCGATCCTAAACGGGCGGTTCCACGCGAACAGTCGCAACGAAGTGAAGCGAATATCTCGTCGAAACGACTCTATGTATCTGGCGTAAGGGAAGAACACACGGAGGATATGTTCAAGGAACATTTCGGAAAATATGGCAACATTTTGAAGGTCTTTTTTAGTATTCTAACGTAGTCATCACATGTACTGGTAGGAACTGATTCAAATATTTCGAATGACTTACTTCCTCGGGTTCACTTTCTCTGTATGTAGCATACATTTCTGATGCCATCATGTTTACTGATTTCTTTTCTGCGTCTATCCTTTTATTTTCATTGTCCTTGACATTTTAAATCCAGATTTCATTTTTGAAACATTTTCACTTTTGATGCATAATTTGAGTGTCTTCTGTGAAAGCTGTGGCTGTAGGTTAAGCGTGGAGATTTTAACTTTTGGAACGATTGCGATTAGCTTAATCATGGTCATTTCAAAACCTGTATGAGTACTGTGGAGCAAAGTCAATGTTGGCGCTGATGAATTTTCATACTTTTGTTAATGAAATAAATAGGAGACAAATTTCTAATTTCCTTAAATGGGAGGTGGCATTAATTACAAATGAGGAAACAGGATTTTGGAAGTAGTATTACAATATTACAGTGTGAATAGTATTACAGTTCTAGTATTACAGTGTGAAATAATTGCGGATAAAAACACTGGTAAACCGAGGGGATTTGCTTTTATAACGTTTGATGACTATGACGCTGTCGACAAATGTGTTTTAATCAAAAGCCATATGATTAACAACTATCGCTGTGATGTAAAAAAGGCGCTCAGTAAGGAGGAAATGGCAAAGGTATTTTTCTTAAAGCTTAGAATTTTCATCATCAGGTATTTAATAATTGTCGTTTGATGATCGTGTTTGCCTTGATTATTTAGTTCCTTTTCTTAGTTTCTTAGACACAGGAAATTCTAGCATAATCCCATAACATGTTGGGATACGAAATGGTACATTTTTATACCTCATTGTCGCTTTTCGGAAAACGCTTGTCGGCATAACTTATGAGTCATGGCCATGTATTAACTATAAGTCTGGGGCCAAAATCAACGGAGTAACCCCTGGTATCACTGGGTTGGATTTTGGTACTAAAATGTATGTACAGGTTCAACAACAGGAACGTGAACGAATGGATCGAGGAGCACGCTCTCGAGGACCACCAATGGGACGTGGTGGTGGTGGATGGGGCCCCGCTGGAGATAGAGGTGGTTATGGTGGACAACCATGGGGCGCTGGTCCCGGCGGACCTGGTGGTTATGGAGCAGGTGGTGGTGGTCAGTGGGGACCGTCAGGTAGAGTAGTTGTCAACTGTTTTATTAATTTTGATGTTTTTGTTGTTTTTCGAAGATGACAGAAATATAGTTTCTCTTATTATTATTAGAATAGTTTACTTAAGCTTTGCTTTGTAGGAGGTGGCTATGGAGGAGGTTATGGTGGTGGCTACGGTGGTGCACCCGGTGGCGGTCGTGAGTTCTGTGTATTATCAGTTTATCTTTCTAAAAATAATATCCATCCCTTCATTTAGTTGACCAATACTCATTTCTTTCCCAGAATTAATAGAGCAGCTCTGGGTAGGTATCATTATGTTATACACGGTTTTTCTTGCTGAATTAGAACTTCCATTAAATTGACTCTATATTGACCTGGTACTGAAACCGTCATCGCTGTTGTCTTTCCCCTGCTGCTAAAGGAAGCTTGCATTTTGACACATTCAACTGACTCATTATTCGTCTTAATTCCTAAAAATGATCGTTTTTGTGCTTTAAAGCTTTTTAATCAAATTTTAAATTTAAAATTTCAGGGGGATGGGGCGGTGAAGGCAGTGGTGGTTGGGGAGGTCCACCGTCGCAGGGTGGATGGGGAGCACCATCCGGCGGTGCAGGTTGGGAAATTATTCCCAAGTTATTTTGTATTCTCAAATTAGTTAAAATTAATTTTACTTATTTTCATACGTTATAGCTGGAGTAAATCATTGTTTTTGGAACGGCGAGGGTCATTTCTTCTCTCTTCCTATGATTGATCAGCTTTACTAAACGAGAGTAGTATCAGTGTGTCAAAAAAAAAAAGTAATTTTAGTACTTACGTATTTCTGTGTTTCAGGTGCAGGATGGGGACAAGGTGGCGGCCAAGGAGGTTGGGGCACCGGCGGGCAGGGTGCTGCGCAGTCATGGGGTGGATCAGGTGGACAAAGTGGAGGCGGCAGTTGGGGCGGTCGAGGTTATTGAAAATGTGGATTACGAAAATGTGGCACACATCTTTTCACTGCTGATACTTTTTTTCCATGGTTTTTCCAACGATCTCAGTAGGTAGTCCTTAAAGTGCAGATTTTAAGCCATTTCAAGTTCTGTATTTCAATTCTTTACAAACATTACTGTGTTTCAATTTTGCTGTGCCTCCATTTTCTTCTAAGAAAGTTGTGAAAATGTTGAGATGTTGGGAAAAGTGTAGTTCGCTCCTTCTCGATCTTCTGACAGTTACATGCATTTTCGCATCATTTTCTGTAATATCTGTAGACTTAGCAGTTTTCTTCTATAATCTTGTGATCATTTTATTGTTTGCTGAAATTCACGCAGTATCATTTTTACAGTCTTTTGTAGTTCCGGCGTTTTCACACTGTCTGTGTCTCAAATTTTTTATTATTGCAGTTGTTGTTTCGGTTGCTTTTCCCTTCATTGTGAAGCATTGTGTAGTATAAAATTTCGAAATGACTTTCCATTTGTTGTTTTTGCTACTGTTGGCTGCCGAAAAAGTTTCAGACCATCGGTATTTATTTTAGAATTCTAATGGTGGGCCCCAGTTTGTGCATTTATGTTGGTTAATGTGTCCGTATATTTATTTGGCTCATTGTTCTAGATAGGTGACGCATTGCTATCGTTAGTCTAGCTATAGATTACTGTGGTGGAATAAAAGTACTGCTTGGGACAATTATGATCTGCATGATTCAACTTAATTGGAGTGCTTCACGAATTTTCATCTTTTTATTTGTAGGAGTTGTGTGTTTGGATTAAAGTGGTGTATTCTCAACACGCGTTACGCCGAAAAGAGCAAGGTTGGTTTTGGAGTTGTGTATTGGTGAGGACATCAGGTGAAGAGAGAAGGGAAGTTGGAGTGTTCTCGTTGCACGTGTCTGAAAGAAGTTTCGGGAACTGTTTGTTCCTGATTGAAAATTTCTTCGAAAGCTTTCGGTAAATATTGTTTTAATTCTAAATCCTTATCAGGTAAGGAGAGGTTAGGCATATCATTAGTACTTTTTTCTCATTTTATTTTAACGTGAAATCCACTTCACGTTTGAAAGATGGTAAGCTGTAGTACTTCTGAATACTTAACAAAGCGTTACGATTTATTTGGTCCTATATATTGATTGGTATTATATACCTTTAGATATTGCTGTGAGATCAGTTATCAGTGACATACAGTATTTTGTGAGAGATCAGCCTATATATACGTCATTTGGTACAACCAGTGTATGTACTTTACGTGATCAAAGAGGGAGTGACCGTACACTACTACTACTACTACTACTACTACTACTACTACTACTACCTCTACTATCACTACTGTCGAGACTTAGAAACAAAGAGAACGATGGTGAAGACTGAAGATGGTGTAAGACTTTACTTTAGTTTTGTTTATCGGGAGGAGAGTTAAAGGTACGAGCAAGAACAGGTAAGACACGTCCACTAAGGTGAGATGTAATCCCCCTTTATTGCGCTGTTAACACCGGTGGCTATCTGTGATACTTGTTTTGCTGTGAAGAAACAAAAATGGCTTCGACTGATAAAATCAGTAAACAAAGCTGTGGATAATAAAGGCTGTATTTTTCACGAGCACTAGTTTCTAAAGTTGAATTCAAATAAGTTAAACAGTTAAAACAGGTGCTGCATGTATCCATCCTGTGCTTTCTGTCTTGAAACTTCAGCATCTCTTCTTTTCTTGTGTTGGGTGGTGTGAGATTGGTCGAATGCAAAATTTTTTAAAGTGTTTAGGGCGATGGACTTGAACCAGAGCAGTTCCGGAAAATGTTCATTGGTGGTTTGTCGGCAACAACGACTGATGAAGCACTCAAGGAGTTCTATTCTCAATGGGGTGAGCTAGTGGATTGCATTGTGATGAGAGATCCAGCAACAAAGCGTTCACGGGGCTTTGGATTTGTTAGCTTTTCCAAGCAATCCGAGGCAAGTTTTTGACATTCGAAATCCGGATTCTTCTTTAGGCTTTTAAACAGTGAAGCAAATTGATTTTAGATGAGAACCTTTTCTTCTTTATTGTGGAATAGTTGCGTTACATAGGTGTCTATATTTCTTGCCGTGCTATGAATAAAAAGTGTTTCAGGTTGATGCAGCAATGGCGGCTAGGCCACATGTGATTGATGGAAAAACTGTTGATCCAAAACGAGCTGTACCGCGTGATCAGTCGGCTCGTAGCGAAGCAAATGTTTCCTCCAAACGATTGTATGTTTCCGGTGTTCGTGAGGAGCATACCGAACAAATGTTTGAAGATTATTTCAGTCAGTTTGGCAAAGTATTGAAGGTGATTTTAATTCATTTTCAAGCTAAAAATCATGATATAAGTTTTTGGTTAGGGAGCTGAAAATAGATATGATACATCGGAATTTCATCAGTGGATTCCAACATCGGTTAAAGGTTAATAAGTTATTGTGATTGTGAAAATATTCGGTGATAGTTCAAACCCGTGTTGAAAAATCTGAAAAAAAGCTGATAGATGGATGACAGGAGTGAAAAATAGTGGGAAACTACAATGGGTAATAGTTTCTATGCAAATGTGATTTTATGCTAAGATGGAATTGAACTGCTTTTTGGCTATGTAAATTTGTTCCTTGTTTCTATATTAGTGTTGCAGGTAGAAATTATAGCTGACAAAAATACCGGGAAACCGAGAGGATTCGCTTTTATCTCCTTTGATGATTATGATCCGGTAGATAAATGTGTGCTGCAAAAAAGTCATCAAATTCACAATTATCGTTGTGATGTGAAGAAAGCTTTAAGCAAAGAAGAGATGGCGAAGGTTAAGTTTGATACTTCCATGTTTAAGTAGGTTTATTTTTAATTTTTAAGGTTTAAACGACAAATTTTTGTAGGCTCAGCAACTAGATCGAGAGCGTACAGAGAGAATGGGACGATCACGAGGTACAATGAGACCTGATCGATATGGCGGTGGACCAGGAGGCTATGGTGGAGCGTGGGGTGGACCTGGTGGTCCTCCTAGTGGTCAGTGGGGACCACCTTCTGGAGGTAATGTTAGTAGAAGTAATCTCCAGGGATATGTTGGTTTGCCATCATTTTTACAAGCTTGCAAAAATTAGCTGTGATAGTTTTGTTTAGCTTTTTATTTAGCTGTGATAATGTTGCAGGTGGTGGTGGTTATGGTGGAGGCTATGGGGGGTATGGTGCTTCAGCTGGAGGTTTGTTTTTTTTTCTGGAGAGGAAGTGTTCACATTTCTGTAGAGAGCTTCACTCGGTAATTTTATAAATTACGAAAATTTTAGGATGGGGTCCAAGTGGTGATGCCCCAGGTGGCTGGGGTGCTGCTGCTCAAGGTGCTTGGAACGGTTCGCAGTCTGCATCCTCAGGTTGTTTTTGCGGTTCTCTTTTCGGAGTTAATTAAAAGATTTCAAAAATACAGAAGGTCAACTTTTTTATGATCAGAGGTTCTGAACTATCTTCCTTTGTTTCATTAATAACTTTTTAATAATTTCCTTTATAATTTTATTGCAGGTTGGAGTGGCAGCAGTGGTGGTGGACAAGGTGGTTGGCAAGGAAGTGGT